GGCGAGAGGCGCAGCCGGGGGAGGCGCCACTGGTGTCTGAGCAACACGCGGGGAGTTGCTCTGGCTCGCCTGCCCGTTCCGCTCCTCGCGCACAGCAGCAGTTACCGCGCGCTGCAGGTCAGCCATCGTCACCGGCTGATCATACCCCCAGCCGCCACCTGGCTGACGCGGCCCCCACCAGCCGCCTCGGCCGCCGCGTTGCGCCGCCCAGTTCGCCTGAGAACCGCGGCGCCGCGGGGAATTGTGGCGGCGCCGGGACGTCGCGCGCTCGTCCTGACGCACGGGGGATTGGGGCCGCTGCTGACGGCGGCCAGGAGACTGCCGACGCGGAGCGGACGGTGCAGCGGGATTCGCCACCAGTGGTGCGACAGGAACAGCAACATGCGGCGCAGACGGACCCGCCGCATGCGGAGCCGACAGTGCAGCACCAGGCTGGGCAACAGGAGCAACTCCAGGCGGCGCAGGAGGAGCACCCGCAGACGGTGCAGGGGGCGCAACCACAGGTGGCGCGGGAGGTACAGCCGCGGCCAGAGCAGGAGCAGACCCAGCAAGCACAGGCGGAGGAGGCGCTAGCGTCTGAGGCGGTGCAGACAGAGGAGCCGGGGCGGCGGGAAGCGACGGCTGGCCCTGGACGTCAGTGGTGGCGGGTTCGTTTCTTCTAGCAGCGCTCCTGACATCCTGCGGGATTAAAGTCCCTACCTGTAGCACGGAGCAGTCGAGAGTGTGGGCGCAGGCTTCGCTTCCCTCATCCCTGGGCGGCTTAGGACTGACAGACCCACTCGTAGAAGGGGTCTACGGATTCGTAGCCAGCTTCACACAGGCCGCACTCTTCTTTTCCTCCCTGACGCTAGCGCCAGACACAGCACTGACCCGAGCACACAGCCACATGATTCTGCCCCGAGACAGCACCACACCGCTTCACTCCTGGCTCACAGAGTGCGAGACAGCCCTACCCTCAGACGCACGCGACGTAGTTGACCAGGAGCGGCTCTCTCGGTCGGACATCAAGCTCCAGCACACACTGGGCCTGAAAGTACAGGGGAGTAGATACGCGGTTCAGGTCCAGGAGACGAGGCAAATGAGACTGAATCCACTCTCCGGGCACACACAGAGAATGTTCTCACTCACAGGCTACGGCACAGGGGACTGGCTGACGGCGGTCCCGGTAGCTTCCTCACGTCGCATCGGCCCGGTACACTTCAGCAACGCCGTGCGCTTCCGGTTAGGCCTCCCTTTCTCCACCCCGAAGAATTGTGACTGTGCAGACCGCACCGCTATCACAGACCCGCGCCTCCCCAACCACCTCTTCCGCTGTGGCACGGGGAAGCACCGCACGAATACTCATAATGAGCTTCGCGACGCTTGCATCAGCATGGCGCAAGACGCGGGGTTCATCGTGCACCGGGAAACAAATGTTTACTGCCCCATAGAGGAGCAGACAGCGGATTTCACCATGACAGACAGAAGCAGTGGGGCAGTTTGGGTGTGTGATGTGACAGTTACAGACCCTATTAGTACCAGGGACCCGGAGGCCAAGAAAGGCAGGGGATGGGCGGCCCGGGAGCAGGCGGATAAGAAGATCAAGCACTATGAGAACCTGCCAGAGACAGTGGGCTTCTTCCCCCTCGCCGTAGAGACCTACGGCTGCCCTTGTGCGGAGGTCCCTGTGTTCCTGAAACTCCTTGCAGACACGGCGGCTCGGCGATACTTCAACGCCGACTCCAAATCCTATCATGCCGCTAAGTTTCTGCACCAGTTCAGGCAGAGGTGGTCGGTTGCACTGCAGAGGGCCCAATCCGTGGGACTCATGATCAAGTTAGGAGAGGCGGCAGCTGCAGAGAACCCGCCTGTAGGAGGGATAGGGCAAGAATTGTACCTAGGGGACTGCTTTACCGTCCTAGAGCCTCTTCTGGAGCTCTAGGTGGCTTAGTGGGGTTGGATAGTCTAGGCGACCTTGCATGTTAGTACCTGCTGTCTCTCATTGCATGTGTGTACCCTTCTGGCTTATCAATATACGGACCATTAGAGAGAGAGAGAGAGAGAGAGAGAACGAGAAAATGTAGAAAATAGAGTATGCACGAAAACTACGACGAGTAAAAACGGAAGAGAAAGGAATAAGGAAAACGGCTACGTTACTGAGCAATGAGGTGGAAATCAAAGTTGAGAAAACGAAATAACGACCAGAAAAACAAAAAGTATCATAGCTGGAAAACGAAATTGAAGGGAACTATATCGCGACAACTATATACTTGAGCTGACGAAGATGCAATCTAGGGAAAAAACGAACATACCAGTGTGTCTAGGAGAGAAGACAAGCAAGAACTAGCGTCTGCTGCTGGGGAGAGTAAGCGAGCAAGAGGAAGCAGCGAGAAAAAAAGGGAAGAAATGAAACCCTAGGGAATGCAAACTTCGTCGCATTGATACTTCACCTCAAATTAAAACACCTAAACCGATACGGGGCATGTAGCTCAGTCGATTGAATGTCAATTAAGATCCAAAAGGTCTTAGGTTCAAATCTCTTGGACATCACCTTACCAAGAACTTATTTTTAGCGATTGTTTTTCCAATTTCACACTTCCCACTAGTAATCCCCTCAAGAAAAAGCTTCGCAACCCTACGACGACTTCCGTCGCCTCTTGTTTTTTTTTTTTAATAATGATTTGTAAGCACGAAACCTGGTCTTTTTTTTTTTTTTTTTTTTGTTACTTGATGGCTCCCATCAAAACCTGTTGCCAAGCACTCATAGACTTCATTTGCTAGTGTTGGCCTCAACCGATGGTTCCATTTATCTACCTTCTCTCTCTTTCTTTCTCTCTCTCTCTCTCTCTCTCTCTCTCTCTCTCTCTCTCTCTCTCTCTCTCTCTCTCTCTCTCTCTCTCTCTCTCTCTCTCTCTCTCTCTTCAATCTCTTGCTTTTTTTTTTTTTTTTTTTTTACATTGTTGCACTCTCCTCAATTTCTGCCATTTAATGTAGAGTCAGCCCATGGCAAGGTTGTTTGCCCTTTTTGCTCCATTGATTAATGTCTAGGAAATTAAAATCCTCAAGGCTTCATCGCCTCCCTCAAGAACCTCCTTGATGCGTGAAGTGAAAAGCGAGCAACCAAGAGACACCATAAATATTCTTCACTATCACAACAAAATGCACAACAAGATTTAATTCTCAAGAGGAACAACTCCATAGAGCTTGTAAAGAGCTTCTAGGCAAACGCCTTTAGACCCTCAATGGTCTATTCCACCTAAATCACAGCAAATTTTTACGAAAGGAGATCAACATCTTAATGCTTTGGAGAGCTTCTAGGCAAACGCCATAAACCCCAAATGGTCTTTCCCCCTAAGGGCTAGCCAACGGCATTCACTAAACAACCCAAAGGGCACAGCCAACGGCCTTCGTGCGGTTATGCTCCTCGTCGTGCTTATACCACCGGCGCAGGTCCGTGAGGGCCGTGCCCACCAGCAGAGCATGCGTTGGCAGTATGACCCGGCTGGCCACAGCGGAAATAGGTGCCATGGAAGCTCCTAGCATCGCAGCCGGGGCCAGTGCCAAATTTGCCGCCAAACCCCGTGGGGCCTTGGCCTCCAAGGGAAGAGCCGCGACCATAGTGTCAAACATATATGCTGCATATTGTCTAGGCTGTAGTGGGGTAGCCCATATGGGGTACAGCCCAATTAGGGTTTACTACTTGTACTCCTGCATGCTGCTAGTTCATCCATTCCTGCTGCTAGATTCTGACATGGTATCAGAGCACTAAGGTCCGTAGGACCATTTTTTTTTTCGGGCCCACCTACAGCTGCGGTTACCGCGCTACCCCACGTACCTGCCTGCCTTGCCTTGCCTTGTGCCGTGCTGCACTATGTGCGCCGTCCAGCAGCCCTAGCGCTGCCTCCTGCTGCCCTAGACCAACGCGCTGCCCCTAGAGGCCCGTAAGGCCCACGCGCCGCCCCTAGAGGCCCGTAAGGCCCGCGCAGCCCGCTGCAGCCGCGCGCAGCCCGCACAGAGCCCGCGCATGTCAAACATTATATATGTTGGGTTTGTTAGGCTACAGTGGGTTAGCCTATATGGGGTACACAATTCTAGGGTTTGCTATTTGTACTGATTTCTCTGTTAGTTCAACCATTCCAGTCTCTTCTTTCTGACATGGTTTCAGAGCAGGTCCTTCGCTAGGACCGTTCTTAGGGCCCACCACTGACTACCTACCTACCTATCTACTGTCGGAGCGTCGCGTTAGCGCCTCCCCCTCAGCGCCCTCGTGCGCCCTCGTTTACGGCCCCTTAAGGCCCCGTCGACCCCGCGCGCCGCCCCTTAGTGACTCGCGCGTCGCGCCTTAGAGGCCCCGTCGACCCGTGCGCGCCCCGCTTAAGGCCCCGTTTGGCCCCGTCGACCCGCCCGCGGCCCGCTTAGTGGCCCCGTTTAGCCCCGTCGACCCGCGCGCGCCCCACGTACGGCCCCGTTTGGCCCCGTCGACCCGCCTGCGCCCCGCTTAGAGGCCCCGTTTGGCCCCGTCGACCTGCGCGCGCCCCACTTACGGCCCCGCTTGACCCGTCGACCCCGCGCGCGCCCCGCTTAGAGGCCCCGTTTGGCCCCGTCGACCCGCACGCGCCCCGCTTACGGCCCCGCTTGACCCGTCGACCCCGCGCGCGCCCCGCTTAGAGGCCCCGTTTGGCCCCGTCGACCTGCGCGCGCCCCGCTTACGGCCCCGCTTGACCCGTCGACCCCGCGCGCGCCCCGCTTAGAGGCCCCGTCGACCCTATCCGCCGCCCCAAAGCGGCTCCGTCGACCCTACCCGCCGCCCCTACCCGCACCGCACGCGACAGCCGCGGCCCCGCCAGCAACAGGCCGCCCGAACCGAGCCGCCCAGTCCGAGCCGAGCCGAGCAGCCAGAACCGAGCCGCGCCGCCCGCACTGAGCAACTTCTCTGGACCGAGCCGCCCTACCTGCGTCGCGCTGCCCACTGCGTTTAGGACTCACTTACTGCTACTGCTACGGCTACTCCTACTGCTACTATGGCTACCCCGCCTGTACTAGCTTTCGATGCTGAGGGCCGCCCAGTGAAGTTTGATACTTGGCTTGATGACCTGCACCTCTTCCTACAGCTCACTGCCAAGGAGGATATCTCACTGTATGACCACGCCCTCGGCCATGCTCCTGCCCCTGCTACTGATGCTGACAGCACTACCCGCTCACAGTGGCAGACTCGTGACGCCCACGCTCGCTTTGCCATCCGCAACTCCCTGCCGTTAGATGAGCGCGAGCACTTTGGCCAGTGCAAGACTGCTAGGGACCTCTACACCGCTGTAGTTGCCCGTTACTCCTCACCCGCTTCTGCTACGCTAGGCCGCCTCACTCTTCCCTACCTGTTCCCCGACCTAGCCTCCTTTCACACTGTCGCAGACCTCATCACCCACCTTAAGACTAGTGAGGCCCGCTTTCGCGCTGCTATGCCTGCCGAGTTTCTCACTAGCAACCCCCCCCGCTCTGGATCACTCTCTACCACATCGTCACCCGCCTCCCTGACTCTCTGCGCGCAGTCAGGGACCACTTCCTCTCTCGCTCCCCCACTGAGCTCACTGTTGCCCTCCTCGAGAAGGAACTGCTTGCAGCTGAGGCGAGCATCGTCGCTGTAGGCACCTCTCGTGGCGACCCCCGCACCCCGTTCTTCGAGGGGTGTTCCCCTTCCCCCCTCCTCCCCTCTGTCGCCTCTGCTGCTGCTGTCGACCTCCTTGGTGCTGAGAAGGTCGGGACCGCGTCTGCTTCGAGCGGGCGCCGCAGGGGCAGAGGGAACAGGGGCGGGGGTGGCGGCGGAGGAGGTGGGGGTGGAGGCGGTGGGAGTGGAGGCGCGGCTGAGGAGGCTAGTGGCGGTAGTGGGGGAGGCGACAGCAGCGGCGGGAGTGGTGGCAGGGGCGGAGGCGACAGCGGAGGCGGAGGTGGTCGTGGTGGCGGCAGGGGTGGAGGTGGCCGGGGCGGAGGCGGAGGGGGTGGTGGTCGTGGGGGCACTGGCGGAGGGCAGAGTCAGCAGCCCGCCCCGACGCTTCAGGCCGCCCGTGAGTGGTATGCGCAGCGTGGCTTTACCTGCACGTACGTCATTCGCACAGGTGACCGCACCGGCCAGCAGTGTGGGAGGCTGCACCCCACGCAGCGCTGCTTCGCCCGCCTTACCGACGCGTGGCGCACCCAGTTTCCTACTGCCACTGAGCTGCCGCGCTGGGCTGAGCTGGAAAAGAGGGGTGTTGATATTTGGGCTTTAGACTTTGATGCTATTCTCACTGCCATGTATGCGATGTCTATTAGTGGAGAGGGTGCTCAGTACTTGCGTGTTCCGCCCGACCCGGGCATTCAGGCCAGTCCGGCTGCCGCCCTAGGTGCTAGTGCGTCCGCTCCCGCAGGTCCTGGTGAGGCTGCTGCCCTAGGTGCTAGTGCGTCTGTGCCCCCTGGTACTGAGTCGACTGCAGCACTGCACACCTTCACACTGGACTCAGGTGCTTCTCGCTCTTTCTTTCGTGACCGCACTGTCCTTGAGCCCCTCGCTCGGCCAGTTGCTGTCTCCCTTGCTGACCCCTCTGGGGGTCCGGTCATTGCGACCTCCTCCACTGTCCTTCCTTGTCCGGCGGTCCCGTCCGGCACGCTGTCCGGTCTCTACCTCCCCTCGTTCTCGACGAACTTGGTGGCAGGTAGTGCGCTCCAGGACGGGGGTGTTCACCAGTTCACCCCTGCCTACGAGCGCGTGACACACTGCACGTGTGCTCGGACGGGTCGCCACCTGGCTACCTTCACTCGGGAGCCGGGGTCGGACCTCTACACACTGACCACTGAGTCCCCTCAGGTAGCTGCATCTGCGTCTGCGTCTGCGTCAGGTCAGCTGTCCGCCCCCTGCTCGTGTCGCTCTCTGGCGCATGAGACTGTCCTTTGGCACCACCGCCTTGGTCACCCGTCTGTGCAGCGCCTTCGTGCCATGCACAAGCGGGACCTTGTTGCTGGTCTTCCCAGGGTGCTCCCTCCCCTTCCCGACTCGCCTGCTCCTCCCTGTATTCCCTGTGTCGAGGGACGGCAGCGCGCCGCTCCTCACTCCTCCTCCTTTCCCCCGACGACTGCCCCCTTGCAGACGCTCCACATGGACGTGTGGGGCCCAGCCCGCGTCCGTGGTCAGGGTCAGGAGAGGTACTTCCTGATTGTTGTTGACGACTTCTCGCGCTACACCACGGTCTTCCCCTTGCGCGCCAAGGGTGACGTCCCTGATGTCTTGATCCCTTGGATCCGCAGATCTCGTCTCCAGCTCCGTGAGCGTTTCCGCTCCGACTTCCCTGTCCTGCGTCTGCACTCTGACAGAGGTGGGGAGTTCTCCTCTGGCCTATTGGAGGCCTTCTGTCAGCAGGAGGGCATTGAGCAGTCGTACACGCTTCCGGACTCTCCACAGCAGAATGGGGTTGCTGAGCGCCGCATTGGTCTGGTCATGGAGGTCGCTCGTACCTCCTTGAGCCATGCGGCTGCCCCCCATTTTCTGTGGCCGTTTGCAGTCCGATACGCTGCGCATCAGCTCAACCTCTGGCCCCGTGTCTCCTTGCCCGAGACTTCTCCGACACTGCGTTGGACGGGAGAGGCTGGCGATGCGTCGCGTTTTCGGGTCTGGGGATCCTGAGCTTTTGTCCGCGACACGTCCGCGGACAAGCTCTCCCGTCGCGCTGTCCCCTGCGTCTTCCTTGGCTTTGTCCCGGACGCCCCTGGTTGGCAGTTCTACCACCCCACCTCGCGGCGTGTCCTGGCCTCTCAGGACGTCACTTTTGACGAGTCCGTCCCCTACTACCGCCTCTTCCCCTACCGCACTGCCCCGCTCCCCCCCCCCCGCCTCTCTTCCTCGCTCCAGGTGCTGAGGTACCAGACCCCCTCCCCCCTCAGGGTGCCGCTCCCTCAGGTGTGTCCCAGGTAGACCCGGGTGAGCCTGTCGAGGTAGCTGTTGACTCTCGTCCTGCTCGGGGTGCTGAGCCTGGAGGTGCTGCGTCTGGGGGTGCTGAGCCTGGGGGTGCTGCGTCTGGGGGTGCTGAGCCTGGGAGTGCTGGGTCTGGGGGTGCTGAGCCTGGGGGTGCTGGGTCTGGGGGTGCTGCGTCTGGGGGTGCTGAGCCTGAGCGTGCTACACCTGGAGGAGCCCTCTCCTCCCAGCAGCTGCAGGAGAGGTACCTCGAGTACTGCCGCCTCCGGAGAGGTGCTGCTGGAGCTCGTCCCGGTACTTCCCCTCCTACCCAGGAGCTCCCCCCCATTCAGCAGATCCGCGAGTGGTACACACGGCGCTGCAGTCTTCGGAGTGGTGCTCCTGGTGCTGCGGACCCTGGGGGTGGCGCTGCTGCTGGTGCTGAGGACCCGGACGTGGGAGCTGCTGCTGGTGCTGCGGACCCGCCTGGTGGAGCTACTGCTGGTGCTGAGGACTCGGACGTTGGAGCTGCTGCTGGAGCTGAGGACCCGGGCGGTGGCACTGCTGCTGGTGCTGAGGACCCGGACGGTGGAGCTGCTGCTGGTACTGAGGACTCGGACGGTGGAGCTGCTGCTGGAGCTGAGGACCCGAGCGGTGGCGCTGCTGCTGCTGCTGAGGACCCGGGCGTTGGAGCTACTACTGGCCCTGAGGACCCGGCCGGTGGAGCTGCTGCTGGTGCTGTGGACCCGGCCGCTGGAGTCTCCTCTGCTTCTGGAGACGCTGCGCGGCCGCGACCGTACTTTGTACCGCTCCTTCAGCAGGTTCTTGGGCAGGCTCCTCCTCCTTGTCCTCCTCCCTCCGTAGAGTGTCCTCTGCCTGTCCAGCCGCAGTTACCGTTACCGCCTACCTCGCCTCTCCCTGCTCCCTCTCCTTACACTGGTCCCACAGGAGGTCTTACAGAGCGTCGTGAGCCTGAGTCTCGTCCTGCGTCGCCTGTTCGTCCTGCTCGCACTGGTAGTCGTGTCCGTCGTGAGCGTCCTCCTCCTGTCCCAGGCACTCACTACATGACTCTGCGTCCCTCTACTGCTCCTCAGCGTGTCCCTCTACCGTCTCCTCCCGCGTCTTCTTTGCCTCACGTTCCGGACCCTGAGTCTGACCGGTACCGTGCTGAGCACCCTACTGTCACGCGTCTCCTCGCTACTGTTGTCACTGACCCTACCTTTGAGTCCTCGACTGCGTCTGCTCTGGTCGCTGAGTTGGTTGACTTTGCTGCTGCCTGTCGTCTAGACTACGCTGCTAGCCTTGTTGCTGAGTCTGAGTCTGAGTCTGTCTGTCCTCCGTCCGTCGGGGGTGAGTGTGCTCTTGGCACGGACGTCCTTGAGGATAGACAGGAGGAGTTCCAGTGTCTTGCTGCTGCTTTGCCCCGTCTCGTGTCCTTGCTAGTTGCCCCTGAGGGAGACCCGGATGCACCAGACATCCCGACCCCACGCACTTACGCTGAGGCGATGGCGGGTCCCTACTCCTCTCAGTGGCAGACGGCCATGGACGCCGAGATGGCTTCCTGGAAGTCCACACGCACCTACGTCGACGAGGTTCCCCCTCCTGGGGCGAACATCGTCAGTGGCATGTGGATTTTCAGGGTGAAGCGGCCGCCGGGTTCTCCGCCTGTCTTCAAGGCGCGTTACGTGGCTCGAGGCTTCAGTCAGCGAGAGGGAGTTGACTTCTTCCAGACCTTCTCCCCCACCCCGAAGATGACCACTCTTCGGGTGCTGCTGCACATAGCCGCTCACCGCGACTACGAGCTTCACTCACTTGACTTCAGCACTGCTTTCTTGCAGGGCAGCCTGCACGAGGAGATCTGGCTGCGCCGCCCACCTGGCTTCACTGGGTCGTTTCCTCCTGGTACCCAGTGGAGGCTTCAGCGGCCGGTCTACGGTCTCCGCCAGGCTCCGCGTGAGTGGCACGACACACTGAGGACTACACTTGCGGCTCTTGGGTTCGCGCCTTCTACAGCTGACCCGTCGCTGTTCCTGCGCACCGACACTTCGCTGCCGCCGTTCTACATCCTCGTGTACGTCGACGACTTGGTCTTTGCCACTGCTGACACTGCAGGACTCGCCTACGTGAAGTCGGAGCTGCAGAGGAGACACACGTGCACAGACCTGGGTGAGCTGACAAGCTATCTTGGCTTGCGGATCACCCGGGACAGAGCACGGCGCACCATCACCTTGACTCAGTCACACATGGTGCAGCAGGTTCTCCAGCGCTTTGGCTTCACGTACTCCTCGCCTCAGTCCACTCCTCTGCCTACCGGTCACTCGCTCTCAGCTCTGCCTTCGGATGAGTCCGTAGAGCCAAGTGGCCCGTATCCAGAGCTTGTGGGCTGCCTCATGTACCTGATGACCTGCACTCGACCTGACCTTGCATACCCTCTTAGCATCCTTGCACGCTATGTCGCTCCTGGCCGTCACAGGAAGGAGCACATGGATGCCGCTAAGAGGGTGTTGCGCTACTTGTGCAGTACGTCGGGCATGGGGCTTGTGCTTGGAGGGCGAGACCGAGTTGTGCTCACAGGGCACTCAGACGCTTCTTGGGCAGACGACCAGGCCACTCAGCGGTCGTCTCAGGGTTACACCTTCAGCCTTGGCTCTGGCTCAGTTTCTTGGCGCTCTACACGCTCTTCTTCTGTTCTCGGCTCCAGTTGCGAGGCTGAGATCTACGCTACAGCCATGGCTGCCCAGGAGCTACGCTGGCTGACCTACCTGCTGACTGACCTCGGAGAGCCGCCTCGTTCTCCTCCAGTACTGTACGTCGACAACAAGGCTGCCATTGCCTTGTGTGAGGAGCACAGACTGGAGCACAGAACGAAGCACATCGCTCTGCGGTACTTCCTTGCTCGAGAGCTGCAGCAGCGCGGTCAGCTTTGTATTCGCTACGTGGCCACTGAGGCCAACACTGCTGATGTGTTCACCAAGGCGCTTCAGCCTCGTGACCATCAGCGCTTCTGCACTCTGCTAGGCCTTGTGCCTACTGGACCTCACCTGCTTACCTCTTGACTTTGCTTGTACTGTGATCACTATATATATCTATACCTGCATGTTTACTCTTGCTAGGTTGTGATCATTGTATCTCTTGCTCTGTTATAAACCTGCATGTGAACTGGTCTTGTGACCACTAGCTTGTGCTCGGAATTTGTGTGGAATCCTCGAGATCCACCCTGAGCTTGTTGTTGCCTTGCTTTGCCTTGACTGGTCTTGTGACCCCTAGGTCTCCCCCACTTTGCCTATGGGGGTGTGTGAAACATTATATATGTTGGGTTTGTTAGGCTACAGTGGGTTAGCCTATATGGGGTACACAATTCTAGGGTTTGCTATTTGTACTGATTTCTCTGTTAGTTCAACCATTCCAGTCTCTTCTTTCTGACAGCGCAGCCCGCGCCGAGCCGCGCGCAGCCCGCTGCAGCCGCGCGCAGCCCGCACAGAGCCCACGCAGCCCGCGCCGAGCCGCGCACAGCCCGCTGCAGCCGCGCGCAGCCCGCACCGAGCCGCGCGCAGCCCGCAGCTGCCGCGCGCAGCCCGCGCCGAGCCCACGCAGCCCGCGTCGAGCCGCGCGCGGCCTGCTACGGCCTCGCGAGGCCCGCGCGCGGCCCGCAGCAGCCCGCGCCGAGCCGCGCGCGGCCTGCTACTGCCTCGCGCGGCCCGCTACTGCCTAACGCGGCCGCGCGCGGCCTGCAGCAGCTCAGCGCGCTGTCAGCGCAGCCCGCGCCGAGCCGCGCGCGGCCCTCTGCCTCGGCCACGACCTGCCGCTGATGCGGACCCGCCCTGCAGCTACCACGGCCCCGACCTGCCGCTGATGCGGCCCCGCCCTGCAGCTGCCACGGCCCCGACCTGCCGCTGACGCGGCCCCACCCTGCTACTGCCGCTGAAGCGGCCCCGCCCTGCAGCTGCTTCGGCCCTGCTCTGCAGCCGGTTTTGCGGCCCCGACGCCGCCGCTGTCGTGCGCCTACTCGGCCGCCGCCCGTCGAGCGCCGGCCCTGCTCGCCCGGTGAGCGCCTGCTCTCCCAGCCTTTGGTGAGCGCCTGCCTGCCTGCCTGACGGCCTGCCTGCCTGCCTGCCTGGCTGCCTGGCTGCCTGCCGGCCTGCCTGCCTGCCTGCCTGCCGGCCTGCCTGCCTGCCTGCCGGCCTGCCTGTCTGTCTGCTTGCCTGCCTGCCTGCCTGCCTGTCTGCCTGCTTGCCTGCCTGCCTGGCTGCCTGCCTGCCTGCCGGCCTGCCTGCCTGCCTGCCTGCCTGCTTGCTTGCCTGCCTGCCGCGCCTGCCTTGCCCGCGCTACTGCTGCTGCTACTGCTACTGGCAGGTGGCCAGATGCAGCTCCAGCGACGTTCACGCGAGCCTCTGACGCCCCAGCAGCTTAGTGAGTGGTATACTAGCTGGGGTTGTCGCAGTAGCCGTCGTAGCTGTCGCCCTGGAGCTGGTCAGTTGGGAGCGTCTGGCAGTGGCCAGCTGCAGCTGCAAGGGCGTCCACGTGAGACACTTACGCCCCGGCAGCTCCAGGAGTGGTACGCTCAGTGTAGCAGGTCTACGCGTACAGTTCGCTGCCCGTACGTCATTCGCACAGGTGCTAGGACTGGTCAGCCTTGTGGGACGCTTGGTCACACACAGTCCTGCTGCTTCGCCCGTCTGAGCGACGACTGGCGCACAGTGTTTGGCGACGAGGCTGAGCTCCCCACCTGGCTGGAGCTGCATGGACAGAGGGTAGATATCTTTGCGCTTGACTATGATGCTATTCTCACTGCCATGTATGCATTGCCTACTAGTGCTGATGCCTACTAGTGCTGATCGTGCCTGTTCTCTGTGCGTACCGCCTGACCCTGGTGAGGCTGCTGCTCTAGGTGCTAGTGCGTCTGCTGCTCTAGGTGCTGGTGAGGCTGCTGCTCTCGGTGCTAGTACGTCTACTGCTCTAGGTACTGGTGAGGCCGTGGCTTCAGGTGCTGGTGAGTCTGCTCTCTCTGGTACTGCGCCAACTACGGTCTCGCACACCTTCACCCTTGACTCAGGAGCTTCTCGCTCCTTCTTTCGCGACTGCACCACACTCACGCCGCTTAGTCGGCCAGTTCCAGTCTCCCTGGCGGACCCCTCCGGGGGTCCGGTCCTTGCCCACTACTCCACGGTTCTGCCGTGTCCGGCCGTCCCGTCCGGCTCGCTGTCAGGTCTTTACCTCCCCTCGTTCTCTACGAACTTGGTGAGTGGAGCTGACCTCCAGGATCGGGAGGTTGACCAGTTCACTCCTGCGAGTCAGCGAGTGACTCACTGCACGTGTGCTAGGACGGGCCGGCACTTGGCCACGTTCACCCGTGCACCTGGCTCGAGTCTGTACACACTGACCACTGAGTCCCCTCAGGTAGCTGCGTCTGCGTCTACGTCTGGTCAGCTGGCGGCCCCCTGCGAGTGTCGCGCTTTGTCGCACGACACTCTCCTGTGGCACCACCGTCTTGGTCACCCCTCCTTGCCTCGCCTGCGTAGCATGCACTCTCGCTCCCTGGTCTCTGGTCTTCCCAGGTCTCTGCCTGCCCTCCCTCCCTCGCCTGCGCCGCCCTGCATTCCTTGCGTCGAGGGGCGGCAGCACGCCGCTCCTCACTCCTCCTCGTTTCCTCCCACAGAGGCTCCACTGCAGACGCTCCACCTGGACGTGTGGGGCCCGGCCCGCGTCCAGGGACAGGGCCGCGAGCGGTACTTCCTGCTGGTTGTCGACGACTACACGCGTTACACCACGGTCTTCCCCTTGCAGAGCAAGGGGGACGTCCCTGATGTTTTGATCCCTTGGATCCGCGCTGTTCGTCTCCAGCTCCGCGAGCGGTTCCGGCGGGACTTTCCTGTCCTGCGTCTGCACTCTGACAGAGGTGGTGAGTTCTCCTCTGACCTCTTGGCAGCCTACTGTGCGGAGCACGGCATCACCCAGTCGTTCACGCTTCCGGCCTCTCCATAGCAGAATGGGGTTGCTGAGCGTCGCATTGGCTTAGTCATGGAGGTCGCTCGTACCTCCATGATCCATGCGGCTGCCCCCCATTTCCTGTGGCCGTTTGCGGTCCGGTACGCCGCGCATCAGCTCAACCTCTGGCCCCGTGTCTCCTTGCCGGAGACCTCGCCCACACTGCTGTGGACGGGGAAGGTTGGTGATGCGTCGCGTTTCCGGGTCTGGGGTGCTCGTGCCTTTGTCCGCGATACCACCGCGGACAAGCTCTCCGCCCGCGCTGTTCCCTGTGTCTTCCTTGGCTTTGTCCCTGACGCGCCTGGTTGGCAGTTTTACCATCCCACCTCGCGCCGTGTCTTTGCGTCTCAGGACGTCACGTTCGACGAGTCGGTTCCCTTTTACCGTCTCTTCCCCTACCGCACTGCCCCGCTCCCCCCCCCCGCCGCTCTTCCTCGCTCCAGGTGCTCCCCAGGTAGACCCCCTCCCCACTCCTGGTCCTGCTCCTTCAGGTGTTTCTCAGGTAGACCCTCCTCCCTTGACTGCGCCGGTTGAGGTCACTGGTGACTCAGGTCCTACTGCGAGTGGTCCTTCTTGGGGTGCTACTTCTACGGGTGCTGAGCCTGGGGGTGCGGAGCCTGGGGGTGCTGAGCCTGGGGGTGCTGAGCCTGAGGGTGCGGAGCTTGAGGGTGTGGAGCCTGGTGGTGCTGAGCCTGAGTGTGAGGGGTCTGGGGGTGCTGAGCTTGGCGGTACTGACGCTGGAGGTTCTGGAGCTACTGAGGGTGCTGGCGCTGGAGGTTCGGGAGCTGCTGGAGGGCCTAGTACTGGTGGCGCTGGAGCTGGAGGTTCTGGAGCTGCTGAGGGTGCTCGTGCTGGAGGTTCTGGAGCCGCTGGAGGTACTGGTGCTGAGGGTACTGACACCGGAGGTTCTGGAGCCGTTGGGGGTGCGGGCGCTGAGGGTTCTGAGTCTGCTGTTGCGCGGTCTCCTTGGAGTAGCCGCCTTCGTCCACGTGTGCCTCTCACCCCACAGCAGCTGCAGGACTGGTACGGTCGCCGTCAGCGTCGCGCTGCTGGAGCTAGGAGTGGTGCTGGTCCTTTGTCTACTGGAGGTGCTGGAGTCGCTGGTTCTGGAGGTGCTCGTGCTGGAGACACTGAGGCTGGAGACCCTGGGACTGGAGGTGCTGGTTCTGGGGGTGCTGCTGCTGGAGACACTGCGGCTGGAGACCCTGGGACTGGAGGTGCTGGGTCTGGGGGTGCTGCTGCTGGAGACACAGAGGTTGGAGACCCTGGGACTGGGGGTGTCGGCTCTGGGACTGGAGCTTCTGGAGCTGCTGGAGGTACGGGAGCTGCTGGAGGTACTGGAGCTGCTGGAGGCACTGGAGCTGCTGGAGCTGCCGGTACTGGTGCAGCTGCGCCGACACGACTGTTCTTCGCTCCGCCGTCTCCGTCGTCTCTGCCGCCGCCTGACTCTGCTCTTCGTCAGGTTGTTACTCTCCCGTCGTCTACTGGTCTTCCGTTACAGACTGGCTCACCGCTACCTGCTCCCTCTCCTTACACTGAGCCGACAGGCAGTCCTGCTACGCGTCGTGAGCCTGCGTCGCGTCCTGTCTCGCCTGTTCGTTCTGGTCGTACCGTTCGTCGTGTCGCTCGTGCGCGTCAGCCGGCTGTCCCCAGTGCACACCTTGTTGTCCGTCGTCCTTCCTCTGCTCCGCAGCCTGTTCCTCTGCCGTCTCCCCCTGCCGTCTCCTCCTGCCTGTCGTTCCGGACCCTGAGTCTGACCGGTTTCGTACTGAGCACCCTACTGTCACGCGTCTCCTAGCCACTGTTGTCACTGACCCGTCGTTTGAGTCTACTGCTGCGTCTGCCTTGGTCGCTGAGCTTGTTGACTTTGCTGCTGCCTGTCGTCTAGACTACGCCGCTAGTCTTGTTGCTGGGTCTGAGTCTGTCTGTCCTCCGTCCGTCGGGGGTGAGTGTGCTCTTAGCACGGACGTCCTTGAGGACAGGCAGGAGGAGTTCCAGTGTCTTGCTGCTGCTTTACCTCATCTTGTGTCCTCGCTACTTGCCCCTGAGGGAGACCCGGATGCACCAGACA